TATATATATATATTAAGCCTAATTTTTAATATCATTTATTTTATTCTTTGATCTTATGCAAAATGTTAATAATTTGGTTGTTTCTCTAGCTTTTAATGCAATAAATTTACTTAGATTTTCATGTACATCTTTTTGGCAAAATCATGAGGTGGATTTTCATACCATTTATAACTTGTTAGGATGTTTTTCTTATGACTACAGGAACTTCAGCTTGCCCCAATGGAAAATTTTATTGCAAAAACCTTGGTAGCAAGCCACAGTTTATAGTTTCTTCTCATGTTAATGATCATTTTTGTGGTAAGCATTTTCTCCTGTGTTTTCATACCTGGTATTCCTCTTTCCTGTTTACCTTTCTGAGATTTTGTTCAGGCCTGTTTTTTATAGCACTTTGAACATGTCTTTGGAATTTTTCCAACACAAAGGAATGAACTAGAGATCTTAGTAGTTACTACCTAAAGCCTAAAAAGGGCTTTGTCGTTTGAAAAGGAAGGATAGTCAAGTCTCCCTTTGATCTGGACAGTGAATTGCAAAACACTTTTCTTAATCTCCATATTTTCCACTGCCAATGGATTCCACAGGCCTTTATAAAAAATTTAAATTTTGATCGACTTTTGGTTCATTGTCTCTTGCTGGTTTTGATCTGTTAGGAACTCATTATCTACTTGAGATTAAATTATTTATAAATCTAAACTCATTAGTACCTGAATTTAAGTTGCAACTGGTCTGGTTTTACATTTCACACGAGTAATCTGCTTTAACATAAACTGGCAATGAATACTTTTCCTTGGATCAAGATATTTAGGCTTCCTTTGCCTTGAACTTTGAATGCCGATTTTTCATTCAATATTGCTGCAGATTGTTGTGATGGGAGTGATGAATATGATGGAAACATTTGTTGCCCCAACACTTGTGTCATGGGGGGGAACGCTAAGTACACGATTAGCAATTGCAAGCCAAAAGCAAGTCAAAATGGAGTGAAGTCAGAGGAATCAATTTATAACCTTACTGGTAACTTATTATCCAACAACTTTTTTTTCATGTGTTTACAAACTCATTGGTAAATATAAATTGAAACTTCCTTGTGTAGGTTTGAAATTGGCAATTATTCTACAAGTAGGGCTGGTTATTTTCCTGGTATTTCTCTGGAGCTTTCGTCGCCGCACCAGATCTAGAAGGAGGCATTACCATTGAGTTTAAAGATACCTTGTTTACTGGACATTAAACCTTGGTAATATTTTAAATATATATATATATATATATTCCCTTAGTTCTTCCTGATTCTGATTTCTTATATGGCTTTACTTCTTAGTTAGTTAATGTCAGGGCTCATTTCATAAGAACATCCCATAGTTTTTAAGGAAATGTTGAAACAGTGAGAACAAGAAAGAGAGAAGAAAGCATCGTGAAATCTATAACTTTTGGAATTTGTTTCATTCAGGAAAGATACGTAAGAAACCATATATTGCAATGTGTACAACTTAAAGATATAAATACTTTTTCTAAATATATTTTTCAATTTGATTGGTTGTCTTTATCCTCGAGCTTCCAGGATTAAGTTGAAGAATATAGATAAATACACGCTTCCCTCTGACCATCGCAATATTTGTGGTTACAAACGCTTTTTTTTTTTTACACATTCATGTCTTATTCTCTTAAATCCTTCATTGACAAAATACATGCTTCATGGGAACTTATAAATAAATAAATAATGGTTCTTGTTAGTACCATGATTCAGGCCATGAATATCAATTTTTTGTTATGGTGGATTGGGCTTAAAAGATTATTGTTGCGTGATAAGCAAGCACAGCAAACATGCTTATCTATAAGACTATAACTTGTTAAAGCGGGAACCTTTTTTACATGTACATGATATTACAACATTCTTGGTTGCTAATTATTTTGAAAGTATGAACGTGAGTAATTTAATTTGGAGTGATTTATTTCAATGTTCAGTTTATTTGTTCTGTTACTATATTGTTACATATTTATATCTTAATGTTTAAATGTCGTTATATATTTATTATTGTTAAATTAGACATGATGTTGTACATTTCTGTGCAGATATCATGACTTTTGTTATTGATGTGCCATATGAGTTGTTACACTATTGTGATTTTATTATTATTTGTGATATTTTTCACCATTGGTAATGTGTAGTTGGTGTAATATTTGCATTTCCCTCTATGTAAGTGCTGTTCTTTATAGCATATGGACAAAAAAACAAATGATATTTTATGTGATGAATGAGAGGATGGCTGGCATTGGCGAGTTAGTTATTGGCATTGCTGAGTTGGAAATGGGAACAAAAGTTATTGTCATTGCTAGGCATAGGAATAATACAATGAGGAAGTCTAAACAACTCTTGTATGACTATGTTCATGAGAATATAAGCCAGAGAAGGGATGAGTATTGCTGTAATCTCACTTTCTGCATTATGTCTCCTTCCCTTCTGAACTTTCACCTTCTACCTCAAACTAGAGTTTTATCACTGCAATGCTAGTAAATTGGCTATAGTGTAAATGAAATTATAGGTTACTCCATTTTGATACTCTGCCGTTGTTTCTCTATTTGTGGTTTTCTCTGTTAAAACTTCTTCCTTCCATTACATTTTATGAATCCTGACCTTATCTTTTTACTTCTTTCTTTCATCTTATTTATACTGTCTCTTTAAATGCCATATTGATCAATTTAAGTATCTTTCTGACAAACCTTTGCAGGTTTCATGTTTGTTATGGAACAAGGTGCTCCAATACTATATTAATTTATCAACAGTTCTGATTGGATCAACAAAAAGCATCATGGATTTCTCCTTCATTTTTGCCCTTTTTTAAACCAATGTCCCTAGATTCGTCCATTGCCACCATTACAAAAACTAGAGCAGGCTGTTGGAGCTCAAGTAGAAGCAGAAAACTTTGAGAAATTCCAAACATTTTCATTTCCTTGAGTCCTGCCAAATTTAAGATCATTTTTTATTTCTTCTCTTTATTTCCCATAACTCAAGAATGCAAATTATTGACCAAATGCTGCAATCTTTAATACTTCTTAGACCTCTGTAACCTTCTTTCTTACACCCACCAAAGCTTTCATCCACTTGTCTTGCTCTTGCGACTCTTCGATAGACTTAACATTTTTGTTGCATTCCAGTTCCTCTAATCCAAATTCTCCTCTTATCTGCTTCGTTGGAAGCTTGAAGCAGCAATGCCTGTGTCATAGTCATTTTATATCTGATATCTTACTTGAGGTGCAATCAATTGGATATTTCATTTTGATTGTGGGACTTGTAATTTATCTATTATCATGTCTTTGTACAGTTGTTCGATTCAGTTAAAGACTTGAAGTCTTGAAGGGGCTGGATATAGTAGAGTTACAACATTGTTACTGTTGCAGTTTGTAAATTCAGGACTTTCTAAGAAACTAAATTGTGAAATATGGATCAATCCCGGGACAAGGGACCCACTGGTGAAATTGTTGGCAGCACTATGATCAAATAAGGAAATATAAAAAGCTGTTGAGACTATTTGTTTCCTGGATACAGTTTTGTCCTGTTAGATTTGAACTAAATAGTTGCATTTGGCAAGTGTATCAAATCTAAGTGATAGTACAAAAATTGTCAATAAGGATTATTCTTGTCAATTACCACTGTGCCAAGTCTTGCACTTTTTGATACACAGGGAAGTAATTTGTGAAATTAATTGAAATGGAAAATAAATCAAATTTGAAGAGATAGTTTGGCCAGCGAGTATTGGTGAGTGGAAGATGGCTTATTAGATTTTAAATATAGCTCTTACATCTTGCCTGTTATGTTATCGATATTGAACCAAGTATAGTTCTTAGAGCATCTACAATGGGGGTTGTTTATAAGCAATTTCTTGTGCCACATCACTGTCAAATTAGTTATTGACCCATTTTATGGATTGTTTAAATTTTAGCAGAATTGCTTGTAGAAGCAACTCTGCTAAAATTTAAGCAACCCATAAAGTGGCCATAGCTGATTTGGCAGTAATGTGGTACAGGAAGTTGCTTATAAGCAACCCCTATTGTAGATGCTCTTAATGCTAAATTGGTTGTCACGTGTTGCAAAATCTTTGTGCCATTTTTATTTTAATATGTGGGAGTCGAACATGGTACTAAAGAGTTTATAACATTCACACACCTTTTATTCAACTAATTGGTTAGAAATCTTTAGTAGCTTTGTGGTGAATTTTAGTGTCTAACTGATTGTTTTTGTCAATCATAATTACATTTTTGTAGGGTGATCTTGCGCTTTGAGGCAGAGAAGTGTGACAATGAGATCTTAGATTTGCCAAATATTTGGATTTGGGAGTATGAAGTCATTAAAAACAAGTTTGTGCATATACAATCGAAATGGACAGCATTTTCTGTTGAATTAATTTGCCAGATTCAAATGGTCCTAGTTATTTTGTACGATGGCAAAGAGGATAGGGTAGTAAAAATAGGTCGTTGTTGCAAAACCAAAATAATGATAATTATTATAATTATAATAAAAAAATACAGGAACGGAAATGGGTGGCATAGAACTAATGTATTATATTATCCTTCCTATATCTATATTTAAAAAAAAAATCCATTTCCAAATTCATACCCATGTAATGTGAGTAATAATTTTAATACATATTTATTGGCCATTCACGTTTTTGTACCATAGTCATTGCTTGCTCTTTAATTAACTATAAAATTAATAAATGAAAATGATTAAAAATACAAATATAATTTATTTAACCACCTATATAAAGATCTTTCAAATATAATAATGAAAGATTATAAAAATAAAATAATAAGGTTATTATGCAATGCAGAATTATTAAATTGGACAATTATTAACCGCAAATAAGTAAGAAAAATTTCAATGATGACAACGAGGAGAACTTTTTATTATGCATCTTCTAAACCCCTACCACCATCACCACCAAGTCATAAACTTCCAAGTCCTAGGTTGGTATTCTTCAAAATCTATTAAAAAAATGATGGATTGCATTAATTGGTTACGACTGTAAAGTAAAAAATTGATAACGCAAATTATTAATTTATTTTACCTGAGCTACCATAATAAAATCAACAACACCCCAAGCTTCAAAACTTAAAATGAGATAAACGGAATGTTGTAATTAGGAAACAAAGGTTAAAGGGCAAACTAATGCGGTTCTATTGATGTTGTAGGTTGATGTTAAAGGCAATACAAATTTACTTTGTAAATTACCCATATTCATGCTCAGTATACAGATAATTACTTTACTCTAGATAATTTTTGAAAGTACTCATCTAATGCATTACCTATTGTCCTATTCCCACCCCTATTAATAAAGTAGATTGTTGTTCCGGGAACATGAAGTAACTTTATGTGTATTAATGCATGCATCATGCATTATTATTTGGTGGGAGATACTACGTAATTTATGCTTCTTCACGTGTACCTGTTTCCTGTCATCTTTCAGTTACTGCAGAGTGATCAACGCTTGATTTCTAGGTGATGATTGGCTTATAATTGGCTTCACTTTAATTTTCCTTCACCTGAACAAGGTACTCTCATCACCCGAATATAAGAAAATAGGGGTACTAGGTAGTTCATCTAATGGTGTGTTTGAAAATCCATTTGAATGGTGATAATGAAAGCTTTGCATATTTCAATGTATAATCAGAGAAGTAATGAGTGTTGGATTGGTTTGAATTATGTGAGCTTAGTTGGTTGAAACTGAAAACTAAACATACACTAAGTATCCATGATTCTAATCAATTTCTGTATGATATGTGAATTCATTTTCTAGGTGATTTTCATGTCTTAAATCAATAAAAAAAATTCAAAATCAAATCCCACAAAGTTCAAAACGACCATTATTTCAAAAGGAAAACAACACAAATTCAATTTTTTTTAATAGGTAAAAGACTTAAATAAATTTCTTATAAAAAAAAAAAAAAAAAGATTTTGGCCATTTACTTTATATAAATTCAGATGGTTGAAGTGCAACTTCTCATAAATTATGAGTGTACATGAATTTGTTGAGGTAAAGTCACATTTGTCATTCACAACCACCCAACTGCACTACTTAATTCTTGAGGGGGTAACTTGCTTGCATGGCAATGCCACAGATTCCAGCATCATCAACAGTGTCACGTTTCATCCTAACATAACCAGATTCACCCCAATCAAGACCCCATGAATTCTTCACAATCCAATACTTATCACCAATATTTTCCTCTCCATACCCAACTACAGTCACACCATGATTGAGATGCTTCCCACACCTGCCAGAGAAAACCCCTTCTGAATAAAGCTGAAATTCATAACCTCCTGCATCAATTGCAACAGAGACAGGTTGATTGGCTACTGCAGCTTTGAGCATAGCCTCATTATTAGATGGCACCCTCTCATACCCACTTATGTTCACTGCATGGTGTCCAGCTTTTTCCTTGTTGCATGTGCCATCTACCCCTTCATAAGGGTACTCTTTTGCAGTGGCTAGGCCACCATTCCTTTTTATGAATTTGAATGCTGTGTCCATTAGGCCACCTTCACAGCCTTGGTTTCCATTCTCCACATCACAGTCTATCAGTTCTTGCTCAGACAGAGAAACCAACTTCCCTGATTTTATTTTGTTGATGCCTTCCACAGCAGCCACTGCAGAAAATGCCCAACAACTTCCTGCATCAAGACATAACTTCAAAGAAATTAGTGCTATTTTAAATTCTTTTATTTGTAAACCTAGATTTAAACCTAGAACCTCGTGTAAATTACCTCAACTCTCCCCGTTAGCCGTTAGGTAAATCTTAATTAAAACATGTTCGGATACAAATCTTAATTAAAAGAATATTAAGACTATTTTTACTCAAAAATACTATTTATTTTTAGTAAAAAAAACTCTAAAAAAATCACCATGTTACTATTTATTTTTACCACAATTGCCTTGATCCTTGATTTCAGTTACTGCTCCTTCCTTTCTCCAATCCATGCTTTCTGGAAGATCACCATGTTTATAACTCCCGATTCCTGTATGTGTAGGCAGCCTAGTTCCAAAACCGAGATAAGTGCTCATAAACTCTTCATTAGTAAGATCTGCAAATTTGTTGTCTATGAGATTATAGGAGTTATTTTGAGAGTTTTTGCACTCTATGAACTTAAGATTTGCTTGGTAAATGCCAAATCGGACTTCCCATTCTTCTTTATCTTTGTAATTTCGACCATGTTGTGTAATCCATCTTTCAAACCTCACCTTCATGGCTTCTATGTTGGATGAATTATACGTGTGAATTGGAGGACATTCACTTGCACTTATCCATGCATTGCACAAGATCATAAGAAGATTGAAGATAGCGAAGGTTAATAATGTGGTAGTTTTCATCGTGGCTTGTTCTCAATGCAAATGAAAAATGGGAGGTTGCATTCATATTTATCATGAACAAACATGCTTCTTTCTTTGAGAGGCGTTTCAGCTACATAAACATCTTCTGTTCATGTCTTCCATGCTCGAGAGTTTTAACAAGGCAAGGCTTTTATTTTGCACTTCATTTTCTCTGCATGACCTTAAATTAAGGTGTGTTACGTGAAGGTTGTGAACTGCTTAAGGTTTTTTGTAAATTTAAAATTTTGTCTATGTGCAGAAATTAGCTAAAACCATAGACACATAATAATTAGACCATACAATAATTTCTCATCGCAAAAAAAGTGTCACTTACTAATTTAATTGCTATACCCTTTTAAGTGATTGCCATCATAAGTCATGAAGTTATGCATACAGAGAAAGACAAAGCGAATCAAAGGGCTTCAGCTTAATTCGAATGTATTACTAAACTAGCCCAAAGAAAAAAAATAGAAATTAAATTAATATTTTGGGTTCTAAAATTGAATATTTTACCGTTGGAACCATGTTTTGTCTCCAAATTGTTCAAGTGATGAATGTATAATGGGTGACATTGACAAGCTGGCTTAGTGATGATGATTTTAGAATAATTGAAGGAATATATATTTGAACTTCCTCTTACCAAATAGCAAACATATATTCTTCTCAGTTAAGCACTCGGGATTCTTCTCTTATTATCGTAAGTGTCCTTAAAATCGACCTGCTGGTTCTTTGTTGCGAAGAAATTAGACATGGCAACAAAAATTAATTATCACTAAAATTGATAAATACTTCTTATCAAATATATATGCTAAAAATAAATTAATCTATAGTTTAACAGTTTAATTATAATTAAATCAGTTAGAACTAGAAATATATATATATATATATATT